GCCACCTGGGCGGTGATGTGCTGTGGCTCAGCTGCACCCTGGCAGGCCGGATTGACACATGGGGAGGCTGCTGGAGCCGAGACCATCTGCGCTCATGTGCTGAGCGTGAGAGTGAAACCACAGCACGGGAGGAAAACGTGCCTGGCTCTTCCCTTGGGCTGGGAGCTGAGGGGACCCTGTGATGGAACTGGGTGCTGGCCGACTTCCCCTGCCCAGCACGTCCCCCATGCAAGGACAGCCCCAGGGCAGTCAGCAAACTGGCCGTGGGGACACAACCTGACTTCTTGCCCCCCATGCCGCTCACTTTTCCGATGCTGCCAACAGAACAGCACCGACCTTAGAGCAAGTTGCAGCCATCAGGAGGAGTATGAGATGGGCCATAGCTCCCCACACTCGTCCCATGCTGTCACCACCACGAATGTAGACACAGCAAGAGCTGGTGACGGGGCGGGCACAGAGCAATGCCTGTGCCACCACGGGACCGTGTCACAGAGGGGCACTGTAACCTCAGGGCAGAGGGGCTGACCCCAGCAGTCACGGAAGCCCCCGCTGCCACTCTCGAGCTACCATGGCAGGTAAGGCAGCAGGCTGCTCTGCTCCTGGCACTACAGCTGGGGGACCGGATCGGGGGCCGTGCCGGGGGCAGCCGAGTGGGGGCACTCTTGGGCCTCCAAGGTGGTGACATGCTGGCGCTCTGCAGCACTCAGGCAGGATGTCCTGGCCCACAAAGAGCCCGCTGATGCCAAGACGGTGTATGCTCATGTGCTGAGTGTTCATGGGCAGCAGAACAAGCTTTGGCAGATCCCGTAAAGCGCCTGCAGACACAGAAACTGCTGAGGGCCCAGGGAGCTCGCCACTCCCCTTCCTCCTGGCATCACACAGAGCACCGTGGGAATAAAGAGCTGGGATGGGGGAGGAACTCACTGTTATGTCTGCCTCTGCCGTTGAATGCAAATGCAGCACAAAATTACATCAGAAGAAACACAGCAATAGCACCTTTCAAGCAGAACATGGGGACGTCCTTAATGTAAACGACTTCTGTTGGGTTCTCCATCACCTGCACCTGAAGGAACAAATGTGGTCACTACTGCGCCTCGTGCCTACCTGGCGACCTCACCAGAGTTCTGACATTGCCATGAAATGCTCCTGGAGGCCACAGACACAAAACACAACCACAGAACCTCCAAGCGTCAGCCACAGAGCTCTGGGCAGGCCTTTACCTGCATTGCTTTTCAGAAAAACCCACTGCTGAGCTGAGCGCTCTGTTGGTGCAGTCCGTCCGGGC